GAGGAAAATATTGTAAGAAAAAAAAAAAAAGAGAGAGAGAGAAGAAATATATATATAATGATTGCATTTTATTTGGGGCATTAAATGGATGGGATGGAATGGAATGGAATGGAATGGGGACTGCAAAAGAATGATAAGTATATGCTTGATTTAAGGCACCCACCAATTGTTACTACTGCAACATCATTTATAATCATTTTATTGTGATTTGACTTTTCAATATTTCTTTAAGTACTATTACATCCTTCCCTTCCCTTCATTTTATTTTCAACTACACTTAACAACAACATTCATACTATCATCTTTTATTTTTTTTTATTTACCGAGAAGTGAAAGAAATTCCCTTTATTTTAAATTTTCTAAAATGGGAAAATTCATCATATCTGAACTTTTGTTTAATAATATAGAGTATGTGAATTTAAGAGTAATTTTTTAAAATATGTAGAGTAACATAATGAACTGTATCATTTTAAATATATATAATAATAAAGTTTAAACAAAAAAAAGTAAATTTATAATTAAAAAAGACTATAAATTTCTTTTCATGAAAGAAGTTAAAATTATGTTATGGTGCTGGACCTGGTGGTATAAGTTAATATATAAATCACAAAATAGTACATTGAGTAAATAAGCTCATAGCCTCAAATAAAAATAAAGCATACTCAATAAACATATATATATATATATATATAGATATATAAATCAAGAAAAAGTAGTGACCATAAAACAAATTGTTATTCTTTTAAAAATGTGAAGATTTTGTTTGGTAAAACTAACTTATAGCTTATCAATAATTTATTAGTAAACTAATTGGGTTGTCCATGCAAGGTCAATGCCCCAGTCGGTAGGGTCAAGGCCGGGTTAGTCGAGTTTTGACTGGGTCCTTTGTTGTCGGGTTCAAATAGCCCACCTGAACCGATTCCTGCTCCGGATTGACTGAGTCCCGAGTCGATCGGGCCGGTCCGATCCAAGACAAACAACAATGATTATGTGTGAATATGTGACAATTAAATGGTCCTTTCGCATAACTCTGTGTTTCGTTGAGGTGAAAAAAATTGGTTTACAAAAGGACATTGAAAAATTTAATGTATTTTTTTACAGGAAAATGAAAATAGTTATTTTCACTAAATTATAAACATATCTAGATTACGATAATATAACCACAAAATAAGATTACCAATGTAACATCTCATTAACTGAATCTGATTTACTAAAACATAATGACAATATGCATGCATGTAATCTAATTTAACATGATGAAATCCCAATCAGAAAACTAGCTGATAAGTTAGCTGATAGCTAATAAATTAGCTTATAGCTTATATGTAATTTTCGAGCTTATAACTTATAGCTTATGACTTATAGCTGAAAAACTAGCTTATATGATAAAAATGTTTGGTAAAAATTAGCTGATAAGCTAGCTGGAATAAAAAATTCAACTAACTTATTTAAAAAGCTACTTAAACAAGCTTATCAAATAAGCCCGAGCTTTTTAAATAAGCTCGTCCTACCAAACGAGGCTTATTTGAATACAAGAAGCTTATAAGCTAACCAAATAAGCTATAAGCTAACTTATTTGATTTACCAAACATAGCCTTTAATATGATGAGATCGTAGGGCTGGGTGATTGTTTACCAATTCAACTAAAAAATAATCAATACTCAAATTTAATTCGATTTTAACCCAATCTTCTACATTGCCAATATACTATTTTTACACATTAAATCAATTTTGATTAACTGTTTATCAATTCACGTAATTTTAACTTAACTAACCATAACTTTCAATCAATTTTTTTTTCACTTTACGTCAAATCAAATTAAATTATTATATTTAAATATATTCTGATATATCCACTATCACTTAATCATATCACATTTTTTAAAATTAATTATAATTAAAAAATAAACTAAATAAAAGTTAATTGAATCCATAAACAATCTATATATATAATTGCTGACATGTAGTATTTAATAAAACTTATTTAATAAAACCTCTAAAATTTTCCCTCCATTTTCGGTTACAAAATTATTAATATCTTTTTACTTCTCACATTAATACACTCTATTGATTGTAATGATGTATGTTTCTATTATATTATATAATAGTTATTGCTAATACTTACTAATAATAATTCACAATAAATATAAGTTACGTAATTATAAATAATTGTTTAAAGTTACATAATTATTTTTTTTTTTAACATCAATGTTATTTAGTTCTTTTGTATCTCATGATTTTTTTTTAAAAAAACAATTAGCAATTTGTTTTAATGGCATAGTCAAACAACTTTAGATTCTCATAAATCATTATTTTTTAATAATATATATATATATATATAATGGCTAACTCATGAGCATTTAATAAAACCTATTATGTTATACCATGTGGCAATATATTTTTTTTTTTCCTCCAAAAACTGTTACTTTTTATTTATTTAACCTCTCATTTAATTATTAGATAATCAACACACTAATCACTTCAAAATTACAAAATCATTTGAAGTTTTTGATTTACTTACAGCTGACCATATAATGTGTTGACTATTTAATGTGATTAGATATTATTGTTGTGGTTATATTTAAATTAACTTCTTTTGAAAAATAAAAAACCTATTTCAAATTCATAGATAAATAATAAATAATTCACAAAAAAAGATACATACCAAAATATACATTACATCCAGTATGATAAACACAATTTAAAAAAATAATATTTCAGCTACTTTAATTGTAAATTCAGAAAAAATCATTAATCATTATATGTATACGAATAACTCACAATACTTTATTTATATATCTGTGCAAATGCACAGGTCGAATACTAGTTACCCTTTAATTATCCACCTTATAATTTATTAAAATTATTATAATGTCGTGATAGATTTTATTTACTTTTTAGATAGAGAATAAATAACTATGCTAAAATAGTGAAAATTCAATCAATGCTCATTTAATTGCTCTCATATTTTCGTAATAAATAAAATTTATACTATAACCATTATATGGTACGCATATGATTGAATGCAGAATCCACGTGTACGCTCAGGGTTCGAAGGCGCAAAGCCCCAGATACATACCTATATCAGAGACCCAAAACAAAAGTACTCCTTATAAAAAAAAAAAATGAAAGGAAAATAATCATTTATTATTATTTTCTCTGCATTTTTTTTTTTGTCTCTATTTATTTAATCATTAGTTTTGGAAAAAGATAGCATATGATCTGAGTTATATATACACACAAATCCTTAGGCTTTTGGGCTCTCCACAAAAAAATTCGGAAGAAGGAAATACAAAAAAATAAAGTAAAAAAAAAAAATGGATGAAAAAGTAGTGAAATCGAGATTCAAGAAGGTTTGTGTGTTCTGTGGGAGCAGTGCTGGAAAAAGGGAGTGCTACAGAGAAGCAGCTCTCGAGCTAGGGCATCAACTGGTAAAATATTATTCATTTTTTCTTTTTTTTTTTTTTTTTGAAATTTTGATGGGTTTTTTGTGGTGATGACGTGGCTGTGTGTGTGTGTGTGTTTTGCATGAAGGTGGAGAAAAGTTTGGATCTTGTTTACGGTGGTGGAAGTATTGGGCTGATGGGCCTCGTCGCAAAAGCTGTTCATGCCGGCGGCGGACATGTTCTTGGGTTGCTCTTCTTTTTTTCTTCTTTCGATTTAAGGATATGATTTTGTTTCAATCACATGGGATGATCATATATTTTGTTGTCTTTATTTCTGTAAATTTTTATTTTTTTTTTTAATTTTGTCAATAAATGATATTAGATTGTGTTTAAATGCAGGATCATACCTAAACCTTTGGTTGGCAAAGAGGTGAACTTTCTGGAGTTACTTTTGTGATTATATTTTCTTTTTTGTTTACTTGTCTTCTTTTGTCAATCTTCATTTCGACTGATAAAGATTGGATTTTTACCTAATAAAAATGTAAATCTTGTAGAAAACTAGTGAAAAGATTAGACTTTTACATTACAAAAAATGTAATTAATGTTGTAGAAAACTGGTGAAACTGTTGGGGAGGTGAGAATGGTGGCTAATATGCACCAGAGGAAGGCTGAGATGGCCCTACATTCTGATTGCTTCATTGCTTTGCCTGGTAATCTCTCTCTCTCTCTCTCTCTGATCTCTCTCTCTCAGTGTCCATTAATTAATTGTTAAAAATGTGCCTTGTTTCAGGAGGTTATGGGACTTTGGAGGAGCTGTTAGAGGTTATAACCTGGGCTCAACTAGGCATCCATGACAAGCCTGTGAGAAATATATAACTTGTAGCTATATATATATGATTTGTATTTTATATTTTTTATTTATTTGTTATCCATTTTAATATGTTGAAACTTTGTTTATTGTTAGGTGGGTTTACTGAATGTTGATGGCTACTACAACTTCTTCCTAACTTTTATCGACAAAGCAGTCGATGATGGCTTCATAAAGCCTTCGGAGCGTCACATCTTTGTTTCTGCCCCTAATCCCAAAGAGCTTGTCCAAAAGCTTGAGGTTAGTTGATAGATTTTCAATAATATCAGCTTATATTAATTTCTTTGTCAAGTTTTTCCATACAGTTAATTGATGCCTCTTTTCCCTTCTTTGATGTATTTTTGGTTTTTCATCTCAAATGTTGTGCCTTGTTGTTTGGCTGACATTTTTAGGATTATGTGCCCGTGCAAGATGAAGTGGCTGCCAAGTTAAATTGGGACTCAGAAATTATAGAACCACAGCCCGATTCTTCGTCTACAACAACACCAGCAACCAAACAAGACCCATTCGCTCCCTTTCGGCCACCCGCCGCCGAACAAATTGCTCTAATATGAATCAAGAAAAGATAGTAGTTATTATTATATATAGATAAAAAGTTGTATTTAAATTTGGGCTTAATGATGCATGCTTTGTTTTGAACCAACCGCCTCTATATGATGTAAGAAATGGACTACTGTTAGAAAGTGGTGCTCTTATTGTGTTTTGAATCATGGAAAATTATGCTTTTTGTATCTATTATTATGGAATTGAGGTGATTTTTTGCTTATATCAACAAGAAATCAAAGTAATGCAACAAGTTTGTGTCAGCAGCTTTTAATTATAGACAGGCCAGGTTTCATTTGTTTGTGAGCATGCCTGCCTGCCTGCAACTTTTTATTATTTTCGTCTGTATTTGGCTTACGTTTTCGTGTTTTTAATTGTTACAGCTGTTGTTATACTGCTTTTTTAAGGTACTGTTTGTGGTCTGAAAATAATGGGGCAATATTATATTTTTGGACCTTACATTGTGTTAGTATATCTTGTTTTTGATGAATAAGAAATGCTCAAGAAATAGGGATGGATTTTTTGTTTGTTTGTTTGTTTGTTTTCATCAAACTAAGGACAAAGAGGAGTCTGCAATAAATATATAGCAGGCTTTACTAATTTCTTTTAAATTATTGTTTATATTTGTTTTACAACACACTTCTTCTTCTTTGTTTTTGGGGAACCCACACACACACACACACAACTTGCACAGAAATAGTAAGTATCTCCTGCCAAGTTTGCCCAACACCTAGAATTTAAACAGTGGTAGACTTTCTTTTATTGTTTTAAAGAAAATTGATTGTTGCATGTATGTAGTAAGTAATTCATTGTTTAATTTAAAAATTGTTTTTGAATCTAGCTAGTATAACTATATTAATGGTAAAATTTGGCATCTTCAATTGTTAGGGGAATGCAAGGGCATATGTAGTAGTAAACATTGCCTGGTGAAATATTCCAATTCCTTTTATTGGCTTTGACATTCATTCATATGTATGATGCAAACATTTATTCCTTATTAGGTTTTGAGGGTAGGTTTCATCCTAATTCCTATTATCAATTATGTGTGTGTTGTGTATACACTTGAGTTTTTCATTGTTAGACTAATTTTTCGTGCGTGTCATCCAACGATAAAAAAATCCATATGATACAAAAATGTATGCATCAATAACATCTCAAAATTTATATGACTTTCGGTATAAGATATTTTTTACAGTAGAAAATTTCACGTTTTGATATTCATGTGTAAATAATTGGTGAATTTCAAGATGAACATCTAACTTATAAACTACTCTAAAAGAAGGTTGTAATATAATCTTTAAATAGAAATGTTTACTTTTAGTTTCTAATTAATTAATGTGAAATATCATAAAAATAATTAAATATGCTATCCTTGAAGATGGTTTAGGTAAAAGCTATGGCTATGTAGCACCAAATTTTGAAGTCCCCAAATTAATTAATTACACATAATGTTGTGTAATATGTATAACACACTTTATAACTAAAGCTCATTATTCCCAATCAACACTCATATATATA